AGCCATGAAATTAAAAGACACCTGCTCCTTGGGAGGAAAGCTATGGCAAACCTAGACAGCATAATAAAAAGTAGAGACATTACATTGCCAACAAAAGTCCATATGGTCAAAGCGATGGTATTCCCAGTAGTAATTTATGGCTGTGAGAGTTGGAACATAAGAAAGGCCGAGTGCCGACGAATAGATGCTTCTGAATTATGGTGCTGGAAAAGATTTTTGAGAGTCCCTTGGACTGCAAGGAGATCAAATCAATCAATCCTAAAGGAAATCAAACCTGACTGTTCCCTGTAAGGACAGATACTGAAGCTCAGATACTTTGGCAACCAAATGAGAAGGGAGCACTCATAGGAGAAGACCCTGATGCTGGAAAAGATTGAAGGTAACAGAAGAAGGGAATGGTTAGACAGTGTTACCGATGCAACAAACATGAAATTTAGCAATGTCCCCTCTAAGCTGTGGAGTCTTGTGAGCAAAAATTAAACTCTGTGAGCTGCTGGCATTATAGTTGTGAGCAAGTGATTTGGCTGCCACATAAATTAGTTTGCTCTGGAGCCATCCTTCCTGAGCGAAGACAAAATTCTGTGAGCCAGAGGCTAAAAAACTGAGCTAGCTCTCACTAACTCAGCTTAGAGGGAACACTGGACAGCAGAAGACAGGAGGGCCTGGCGTGACGAGGTCCATGGGGTCGCGAAGAGTACGACTCGACTGCGACTGAACAACAACAACCTTGAATAAGAATTGGACATCATTCCTATGCTCTACTGAAAGGGAAGTTTACACCAGTATGTGTGCACGCACATTCTTAAGGTTTCTCTTCACAGTTAAACATATGTACTGTGTAGGCCTAGACTCATTTCTGAGTGAAGATACGAACTAGTATGCTTTCTTTGAGCTTTTGGAAGCAATTGGTTTGCTGTTCTCTTCCATCCTTCTTTAAAATATTGGGCAAAAATAAAACATAAACTTCTTCCGCCAATATCGAGATATTCCACCTACACATCACAGATTTGGTTTTTGAATAGTACTCACGAAGAACTACAGAAGAGATGGAGAGAGGTAGGTCTATCCAGATACTGTGACGAGAGGGCTTTCGCTCTAAATTAGATATAGAAAAGACATTGGGCCAAAAGATACCATGGTTCTTATATCTACAATTACAGCATGTAAAATAGCTTTTTTAAACAAAGGTTTCTGTCCCAATCTACAGCTGAAAATCAGAATAGCTCAAAATCCATAATCCGTCTTTGTAAAAATAGCTGGAGAAGTGTATTTAAAGCAAGGCATTGTTACTTGTTTATTTGCTGTAATTTTTTTAATTCTCACTCTTTGCTCGGGTTTTGTTTTGCTAGCCATTTTGTTTTAACCGACATGGAAGAGCCCACTTTAAAGCTTTAGATATTACTGTCAATATTTAGTAGCTAAAAACATTCCATGAAGATTAGAAAACTAGATCACTGTGCATGCCTGCTTGGGTTTATGACAGCCAACTGTTCCTGGCCATCTGCCCGGTTTGTGTTAGTCAGGATGACCCTAGGGGAATCTTCATTTGTTTTATTGCTGTTATAAGTGCTGAGTGAAAAAGAGCCTGAGTGCAAAGTTCCATCTCCATTGCATTTAATAGTAGGATGGTGATACAGTGAACAAGAAATAGATACTGTTCTCCCTCACCATTGTCATTCAGTTATATCCATCAATTGTAGTCTATTACATTAATTAGAACTTCTACTTGGGCTTCTTTGTTTTTAAGAGCTCCCCAGTGTATACTACTTATCAGTTTTCCATCTCCTCCCCACTGTTCCTTGCATACCTTTTGCTGCTTGTAAATAGCAATTTGCTTTTTAAAAAAACCCTTCCCATTGATGTTATTATGTACTCTTTTTGATGCAACCGCTCCTTTCCAGCTATATCCTTGATAGTGGTATATGTTGGCAAAATTTCAGACCGGAAACAGTTAAAGTTGTATGAAATGTTACTTCAAGGCAAAAAACGTGTTATCAGACAAGGCAAAGAATTATTCAGAAATCCTTCAGTCTCAAAATGAAAATAGACTAAGTGCAAATTCAGAAGTCATTGATCTAGTTTTGGCAGAGGCATGGAGCTAAATGTGTTGTACGTATGCTTAATTCTCTGGATCTTTCAAACAGATATTAAGAGCCTCTTGCTACATTGGTTTTGGTTCCTGTGGAATACATAAGAATCAATTTAAAACTAAAACAGGGTTAGATTTTGTTGCAGTGCCTTGAAGTACTTGGCGCCTACCCCAAAATGTGCTTTTATTCACTGGATGAGATTGCTGCCATGTTGGCTATTTGACTGGCTTTTTAAAGAGAACATGGTAGTTGGGCTGTTGAGTGTTGAAAGATTCACAAATATGGCAATGCTTTTATTCATTATGGGTTGAATCTTACTAATTTTTCTGTTGGCAAAAGTGGGAGGAGAGGTTCTTTTTAATTACCAGGAAGTCTATGGCAGGTATCATGAGACCTGTATGGACAAAAACTACATTGGCCAAGGACTATGGTAAGATGGGAGCTGGATGTGATCTAGTGTCAGGGTCTCGCAGCAATCAGTTCTCAACAACGTTCCTTCAGAAAGGTTCAAGTTTATTGAGTACAGTAAAGGCAAGTCTTCTGTGCATACATTTAGTGTCAGAACTAATCCTAAAGGCGAGAGCGAGTTAGATATACGGGATTCGAAGTGGGGGTCCCCTCACAAGGTCGAGCCAATCAGGGCATTGGTTACAGTGCGCTTAAATTAACGGGTTCACATTCCCAGCAAAGGAGAGCAGTACCAAGGTCAGATGCTCAGGCTATGAGATAAGACTCAGGGAGGAAAAGTGAAGGTTAACATTCCAGCATAACAAGAAATACATCAGCCACCGCACACACACACCCCCAGCAGCCATGGCAGCATAGCTGACATCTAGCAGGAAAGCTGGTAGTATCCAAACCAATTCGTTTATTTTTAAAATCTACAGAGAATGAACATTTTGGGGGAGCTGTTCCTGCCTCTCCTCGTTCTAAGAATGTTATCCATCTAGCAAAACATAAAGCAAATTTTTACTACTTATTCACTTTGAGTTTTTCCTGGAAGAAAGGAAAGAGAAAATGTAATTGAGCACTTAGAAGGAGCAGCAAAAAAGTGTACACTGAACCAGAAAATGAAAAGGGACTGTGGATAGTAGAATGCATGTCTGATACTTACACCTTGTCAGAACTTGAGTGAATCTTCCTTGAATGTTGCTCCTGGGAACATGGTTCCATAAGAAATACCATGGAGGAAATGTTGGGGTACTGCTATGTGTGTATGAGGGGTTAGTAAAAGAAAATACTCCTGATGGAAATGAGTTAAATCAATTCATATGTTGCCTGTTCTGAAGCAACATATGAATTGATTTCCAAATTAAAGTAACTACTATATGTGTTAGAACAGGTTCCTTAAAATTCCTTGAGACTGTACCATAATCATAGTTTAATCATATTTGTAGAAATAATCTTTCTTATTTCATTATCTGACAGAATAGCTATATTTATCAAAAGCTTGCATTGTATTAAAATTAGGTTGTAGGTAGAAGTGTTGGTGCACAAGTTAATTTTTTAAAATGTCATAAATAATTCAGGACCAATTTAAGTATCACAAAGACACTTTTATCACAAAATTGATCACAACACTTTAAGCTTTCTAAAACTTTCTACAGCTGATTTTCTAAAAATCAACTGAGAATTACTTTCCTGCACTTACTTGCTATGCCCTAGAAAGCCATAAACATCACTGGTTTTAAAGCAACTTTTTTTTGGTTTAAGGAATATGTCTGTACTGTACTGTGTTTGGCAGAATGTCTTTCAATTATAAATGTTTGTGTTTATTCAGATGTTCATGTACTGTGGTGTACTGACTCTGAACCAGTGCTTTGAGACTGCAGTAGAACCAATTGAATATGAATAGCCTTGCTATTTGAAAAGCAGGTTGGCATAGTGGCCAGGAATGCCTTCCAACAGCTGCGTCTGGTTCACCAGTTCTGTCCATTCTTAGATGCAGCTGATCTGGCCACACTGATCCATGCTTTGTAATGTCATGGTTTTATTATTGTGATGTGCTCTACTTTGGGCTGCCCTTAAATATATCCCAGAAACGTTTGCTGGGTCAGAATGTGGCAGCCTGATTGTGAGGGGCTAGCCCTTGGGCGCATATCTTGCACATCTTAAACCAGTTGCCTGCCAGTTTGTTTCTGAGTCCAAATCAAAGTGCTGGTTATGACCTTTTTAAGCCCTTCAGTGGCCTGGAACCCACATATCTAAAGGACCATCTCTTTGTATAATGTCCCCATGCTCCAACTGGCTGTTTCTCTACTGAAGGTGGCCTGCCTGGTATCAACCAGATCCCATTTCTTTTCCATTGTAACTCCCACTCTGTGGTATGAGCTCCACAAGGAGGCAATCGTAATGCCATCGTTGGAAATCTTCAGGATACTATGCAAGGCCATTTTATTTGCCATGGCTAGTAATAGGGTCGAAACTGCAAACATCTTGTGGGGGGAGGGGATGTCTGCGGTTTTAATCTATTAGTTTGAAGTTGTAATTTTTTAACTGTGATGTATAAACCACTGTGAGCCCCAAGGAAAGATGGGGTATATATATATTTTAATAAATTTGAATAATGAGAGGTGTTCAGTGTACAGAAGGATTTCTTTCAGGTTTTGAAAAAAGCTATCTGACTAAAAATATAACTGTTAAAAGGCTGATATTCGTTCCCATTAAGCATCTATAATTTGTTTTATTACTTCAGGCTTTTACCATCTAGGCACAGATCAGGATTTCTGATAGCCCTGAGATTAGAATTGAGTGTAGCACATATTCATTGATCTAAACAGCCATTCTTGTAGCAGAAATAAATATATGTGAAAATAGGATCTCTCTCAATCTCTTTAATTTGTTGTGTATATTACTTAAACGGTCAGATCAAAAGGGTTTAAACAGAATATTATTTTTTCCCTCAAAAAGGTATGTAAACAGATCTGGCTAGGATTATTTGACGATAGATCATCAGCAATTCCGGACTTCAGGGACCCACAAAAGGTCAAGGAATTTTTACAAGAAAAATATGAAAAGAAAAGATGGTCAGTATACAATTTATTTGGCTAGTAAAAATAAGACATGTAATCTTTTATCAAAATAGAAGTTTAAATAGTAGTGAATTTAGCAACAGAATTATGTGTTTAGTACAAGGTACTTGCATCACTATTTTGTCTGCTCTGGGTGCTTTACAGGAAGATGACTTATTTTCCATCATTTGTCAGTTCTAAATAACTGAAACCTGCACACCAACTTCAGGGCTTACTCACTGTTGGAATCCTGCCTGTTCTCTCCCTTGTCCTCATTATGATAGGGTCGGTTGGGTTATTAGAGGTTAGTAGAAACTTCTGGCAACATTAATATTACTTAAATAGCAAAGACTGGTCTATTATTGCCAGTCAGTACACAAATTACTTGCTGTTTGAAACGTCTGCCCCTTGAAGAAGTATCAAAAAGCTTCTGTATAGTTTAATTTATTTTAATGAGAAACACCTCTGAAGTTTCAGAATGCTGTAGGCTTCAAGGATATTGGACATTTTTTAATGCTGCTAGCACAGGTCTTGGAATAGCAGTACTGGGTCATCCTTCTGTTAATTTTGGAAGAATAGTATTAAATATGAAATGCATTTCTTTGTCTTAGGTATGTTCCACCAGAACAAGCAAAAGTTGTGGCATCAGTCCATGCGTCTATATCTGGGTCCTCTGCTAGTAGTACAAGCAGTACACCTGAAGTCAAGCCACTTAAATCTCTCCTGGGAGAATCTGCACCAGCATTGCACATAAATAAGGGCACACCTACTCAAGTGAGTAACATGACAAAAACAACAGCAACTCTGTGTTAAGGAACTGACAGGTAGTGTTCTCAAGGGCATTCCAAATGAACGCTTAAAAGTCTTTTCCACTGGTGTTGAAGCAAACTGTTGGTGGAGGCAAGCTCAGCCCAGATTTTAGTCAGCTGTAATTATGTGATTGTGAGCTCAAAACCATACAGTTTGTCTCTGCTATAAAGACGTGACAACTATATTTTGTGCAGCTTTAGTTGGGTGCTGCTTACAGAACATTTGATTTTATTGTCTCTGTTCTATACCATGTTCATTTGTGTGTTTTCACTATCTTCATGCATCACTGTCACAACGAAGTCCTTTACTTGTCAGTCATTTTCTTAAGTCATTCTTCCTTGCTTTTTTAATCTTCAGAGATACTTGTGCCCACCAAGCTCATACCTCTTTTTGGTTTATGTAGACACTCAAAAATAATATTTCCAAGGAAACAATTTCTTTTCTAGTAGCACTTCTGAATCCTTTGAAAATAACTAAGCTGACACAAAGCCTGTGTGTGTATGTTTGTATATGTAGTAGTGCACACTTTTATCCCATCTCTCCATGATATTGAGGAAGTGTACAAGAAGAAATAAAATCTTCAGATTTAAAATATAACATTTAAAACAGCAAAAAAGTTTGTATAAATTTTGATGTTGCCTTTATTGGCAACAAGCAGTCCCAATGCAGTTTACATATACAGATTTTGCAGTTTACATATACAGATTTTTTAAAAACTAAACAGTAACACTATCTAAATAACAAATTATTATTCACTGTCCATCACAATTAAGTAAGCTGTCCATTGTTGAGTCTTCTTGCCTTGCTTGTGCATCTCCTCCTGTACTTTTGGAATGTATAAAGGATTTCTTTGATATAGCTGACTGACTGCATTAACTGTCAGGAATGGACTCTAATGAACATTCTGTTACTGACATTTTCACAGTATATAGAATGCTTATGAATATTCTACAACTTGAATATTCTACAGCAATCTATCCAAAGCTACTGTTGCTTTAAAGTTGGGACATTATATCTAGGTGAAAAGTAGTTTGGCTTATGAAAGTGTTATCTTTCCACACTGAGAATAAAATTCTAGATTGGTATCTTCTGTTGCTTGTTTAGTCAACTGCAACTTTTGGTTTACAGTCTCCTGTTGTAGTTCGGTCTCAAGGACAGTCACAAGAAAAGAAACAGTTTGATCTTCTCAGTGACCTTGGTTCAGATATATTTGCTGCTCCTGCTCCTCAGTCAACAGCTACAGCAAATTTTGCTAATTTTGCACACTTCAACAGTCATACAGGTAAGAATAAATTCTGTTCTTGGACTTGATAGTAATAGAAAGATAAAATCCATTTTCTAGAAATGCAAATAGTTCAGTTTGTAAAAGTACTTTAAATGTGTGCTTGTGTGTTTGCTTCAGAAAGAATGGTTAATTTATATTGTAACAAATTATATGACTCCATGTTTAATAGCTATTTGAGCTTATCATAATAGCATGTACAGATAAGGGGAAAAATTCCAGAAGAAGACTGGCCAGATTTCTTCACATACATACATACCATTTCTTGTAAAAACCATTGCTGTATAAGTGGAGAGAGCTGGCTGGCTTTTCGTATTGGCTTGGCATGTGCCAATAGAAACATGGTGATTTTACACCTCCTTTTAACTGCAGTTCCTTGTTAAACAGTTTCTTCTCTGCTTCCACATAGTCATAATTTCACAGAGTTGAAAGTACTAGATTGGGAGTATACTGTATCCCCAGTTGAATGTAGTGATATTTAGCATTTACAAGTGAGGTACCTGTGCATACTTACAGTGGGGATCTCATTTTCTACTTGTGTCCCCTTTCCTATACTTGTTCTTCTTTTCCTCCTCCTGACAGCCCCCATAGCCTTCAACCCCTCCCTCCTGAATAAACCACCAGTCAACCTACATTTATGTCCTCTTCTAGTCTTCAGTTTTTCCTCCTTCCCTCCCCCAGCAGCCTTTCCCATTGTCTTCTTTCCCACCCACCTAACCTTTTTTGTCCTCTCCCTCATTCAGTTTTTCTTCCCTTCCCTGCTTCCTTTTCCCCCTTTCATCTTTTACCTTTCAGTCTCTCCCCTCTGCCTTTAGCTGACCAAAGCCAAAGCTTGGAAAGCGCAGCAGTACTGCTGTGCTTTCCTGGCAACCCTCCAAAATGGCCACCTGTCTCAGAACGTAGTGTCACAAGAACTCAGTGGTCATTTATCGCAGAGCAACATACATTATTTCTCTCATTCTAGATTATTTTGATCTTCAGTATTGGTTTGTTTTTTTAATTCAGAGTTTTCTGAAATCTGAGCTTCCCCCAGGCTTGTAGAAAAATTCCCCTCATTTTTTGATCCATGTACTGGTTCACTATTAGGTAAAACGACAAGGAGTACCTGTAACTTGTGAGGAGTGGAAATACCATCTCCTGCTGATCCCACTTCCCTCCCTCCCCAACCCTTCCATTGCTGTCACTCCCCACACACAGCTATGTCATCCTCCTCTCTTCCCCATTGCGGTTTTCTTGCTTCCACTGCTGCCTCCTCCCTGACCTCCTTTGTTGCAGCTGTTTATTCTCTGTCCCACAGAGTGGGTTGATAAGTGACTCCCAAAATTGTGGGTGGGATCTTGTGATGCAACTTCATGAGATATTGCGCAGTTTGGGTGTTTCTTTGAAAAAAGGTCACCTTTGATTTCCCTTTTCAGATTTTTGTACAGAACTCAGGGTTCTCTCTTTTTTTACAGGAGACCCCCCCCCATTTAAATTTAATTTAAATTTTCAAGGTGCTTTGCATGCATTAACATAGTTATCCTTGTAACTATGTAAGGCAGGACAGTATTTCTCTATACTATGCAGATGGAACTCTGAAGCTTAGAGTATACCCTGAAGCGACTTGGTGACTCCAAAGGCAAAGTTTTAAACAAGTGCTTCACGAGTTCATACAGTGAGCCATTTGTGCTGCACTAGTTCTCAGTTCATGCATCCTACTTAATCCAACAAGTGAAGCCGGCCATACGTGGTTGATAAGCAAGGCAGTTGATGTGCCACTCTGTAGTCCGTGTTGTTTACAGTATGTTGTGTAAAATCAACTTTGTATTATATTTGAGGTGGTAAAGAATCTAGTGCTGGCTGAATGGCTGAGAATTTTTAGTTGCTCATGGAATAAAGCAGTTTGCGATCTACTTTGTGCATGAAAACAGAAGATAGCTAGTTTGGTTGGGATTAGTATCAAAGTTTGGCTGAGAAGTGAGAAGAGGCTCTGGGAGGCAGGAAAGCTAAAGAATTCGGAGCCCTGACATAAGGTTGAAAGGAGGGAACAGAGAAATAGCGGGTAGAAAAACTTGAAGAAAGAGTGAGGGGAATAAGCCCCAAGAAAGAGCCAATGTATTGAAGTGTGACAGGCTGATCAGAGGAGATCCCAAAGAAACGTTCTTGAGTGGACTATATGATATGCAGGAAGGGAGAAATACTAAGAAGCCTTGTCACCAGACAGGATAGCTAAAGCAAGTGAGACAAATTTGGCAGTAGCCTGAAATGCAGGGACCTAAGGAAACGGTGAATGGGGAGACATGAAATCGAGGAAAAGAGCCAAGAATGAAGGAGGATTAGGGCTGTACACTCTTGGCAGAAGGGTGGTGGGCAGGCTAGTGAGAGTTGGAGACGGGGCCAGAGTGCTGAGGTAGCATATGTTTCTTAGGTCTAGACCCTGATCAGAGCTCTATCAGGTTGATTTCTGTGGTTTCAGTAGTGTTGTGGTCTGGCAGTTCTCGGGGACTACAGGGGCCAAAATACAGTATGGGTGGGAGCTGACTTTCACATTGGTTTGAGCTAACTATCCAGCCTCCTGGCTGCAGGCTCCTAGTAGCTATTCCAAAGAGTCTGTATAGGAGAAGAGTTATTGTAGCTTTGTTTAGTTTCACTGTGTTGTGTATTATGGGCCAACTCATGGTAAATTTGCTTTCCCCCATAAAAAAAGATGCTTAATATTCTATATGTTGTACTACAATTACATTTTAAAGATCCAAACATTTTTTTAAAAAAGATCCAAACTTACTGGGTGGGGAGAATTTTTCAGTTTTGTTGTTCTCTTTTTCTTTTGCATTATTCTCGTCAATTGAATGTTAGTTGTATTTCTGCTTTTTAAAGCATAGTGACTTTTCTAAGGCAAAGATCCTAAGAACTATCCTGGCGAACTGTGGCTTGCATTTGTCCTGCAAACCAACTAGCAAACTAGTTTACAGTCCTGCTGTGTAGGGCAAGTTCAAATTGTGCTTTGCAAGTTTGGGTGCAGCAGGAAACTTTGGTTTGCACAAAAATAGTAGTAATGAAGCATGGAAAGAAGGAACAAGTAAGTGCAAGGCTTGATTGCAAAGCATCAAATTATAGTTTGGCTGTTCACTAGTATCAAGCCCGTATTGTCCCTAACCAGCCTTACAAGACTGCCCATTCTGATAGGCAGTCTCCTAGTTCCTGCTGCCACTCTTCACTCCAGATGGAGCAAAATTGGGCATGGAAAATGATGTTGTACCCAGAATTGTCATTACAGCACTCCAAGAATTCCCTAATCTCTAGGTTTTTTTACAACCAGTAATTATGTCATGCTGTTGTACATAATTTCTCTTCCCATCCCCCCCCCCGCCGTTTTTTTCTTTTGCTCCAGTAGGAGCAAAGAAACTGGCTGGCAACCCTATCTCTGACACTGGTCAGCAGGATAGCAGTGCAGAATGTTGATATCACTGAGAATACTTTAGCCAAGTTATGTAAACTGTAGTAATGGATTTTTCTTAAGCCATTAGTGTTTTGCCCCCTAGCTTTCAGGAAGAAAAAGTATCTGGTTGTTCTTAGTAGTTATTACTGCATGTTTAAGCAAAAAGTAAGCTCAGAGGAATTTTAATCTTTAAAAATTAGTGGCAGTTTAAGGCATAAAAGAGACCAATGAAATTAAATTATTTGACATAAGTCCTATTGACATAAATTATTTCCATTAAGAGATGGAAGGATGAGGTCTTGTTTGAGATTGTTTTTGCCCCTTATGTTACGTGTTCATCTAACAGTTTATTTCAGTGGCATGCTTGAGGTACAACTGCCTTTGAAGCCTGCCATATTTGATTCAGTTTATAATCTGGTTTTGTTTACATACCATTAACATGTATTGTTCATTTGCAATTTACAGCACAGAACTCTGCAAATGCAGGGTTTGCAAACTTTGATGCATTTGGACAGTCTAGTGGTTCGAGTAATTTTGGTGGTTTCCCCACAGCAAGTCAGTCTGCTTTTCAACACCAAAATACAGGTAGAAGTGCTCTAACGTTATTAGTTCTTTTAATACAAACTAATCTGGACGTGTAGTGTACAACATTTTTCAGCTCTTTCCTGCATTTAATTTTCTCAATACAAACACTCTGAAGCTCTGGGGAAACCTGACATTCATGCTGCCTTTTGTTTGTTATATTTGTGTGGGTGATGTGTGTTTTATTGTTTTGCATGATGTACTGCAATTTCTTAATTATCCCTACACATGAAATATTTTGTCACACTTTGTGCCATAATAGAATTTTTGATAATACCTAAATTAAATGGAGACTACAAATATTTTTTCATATTCCAATATATTGGACTAGAGAAAAAAGCCATTTAATGGAGAACACGTGTTTTTTAAAAATCTCATGTGTAAGGGTTATGGCTACTTTTGTTTTAATTTTGTCATATATAATGCTTGCTTGGACTGTCATTGCTGCTTGTTTTTATCTATGGCTGACTTTATTTTCTTTTTTCCTTTTTCTTTAAAGTGTGTTGTCTTAAGACTCTTTCTTTTACAATTTTGTTTTTCCCCTTTGTTAACTTTAACCCCTCACACAATTTTCTGGCTGTCCAGCGTTCAGAACGCTTTCATCTAGCTGCAGTTTTGGTGAATTTACTACTTCTGCTTTCCCTCTCCAGGCTGTACGCAGTAAGTTCCACTGAGTGGCAATCTAAACTAATTTAATTTAAAATGTCATTTTTTTCCTTTCACTGTTGTGTGAATTAGCTTTAGCTAATTCACTTTAGCTGATAGTTTATTAGTTTGGTAGCACTTGAATCAAGATTCCTGACCTTTTCTTTCTTTCTGCAAACTCAGCTAAAATTGTAACTGAATTTACTACCCCTGGGGAAATTCTGCAGTAACTTTGGGGCTAATGATATGGAACCATTCAGATCTGTAATAACTGATCATTTTAAGATGGTATATTTCAGAATGCTTATGTCCTGGCTTATTCTGGTGTAGAACAGAACCACACAGGTTCTATCCAAAGTCTGATTGCCTATGGGGCATGCCTCTCTTCATAATGTATGGTACACAAGGAAAGAAACTCCACACCCTCTTGTTTTGCCTTTAGTAGGAGATCAGATATTCTGCTGCAGCTGAGGATCGACTAGTGGCAGCCACTGAATGGAATTCTAGCATCTAAACTAATGAAAGCAGTAAATATGCATCACACATTCCTAAAGTGGTGCAAACCCTTCTGGCTCTCTTCTGTCATCTCTGTTCCTCAGGCTGTAGGGTAATGTGCTTGTGTGTGTGCAGTAATCCTCGGACATAACTTAGGCACTCTACCCTCAGGAATCCATCACCTTTACTTTCTAGTTTTGAAAACTTTACAGTTATTTCACTGATATCAGAAATTTCACTGTTGCATTAAAGGAATTCCTATTTAAGTGAATTTGCAGCTGAAAATATAAGCTTTAAATGAATGTTTGCTATTCACGTGAACTGTTGGGGTTAGCTGTGTGTTGCAGCAACTACTCTTGCAAAGCCATGGTGTGGTTTTGATGGGGCTGCTGCATTTCTGGAGTCAGGAAACACAAATTCCCTGTTTTGATCCATTCAGAACCTGAGCATAGGGATAACCATTTAAACAGAATCATCCACACAGTCACAGACAGCATTTGAAGACACGTGGAGCTTGGAAGTATCCATCATGTTTAACTTATTTTGTTACAGGTGGCAGTGCTGGATCAGTGAATGCTAATTTTGCACACTTTGATAACTTCCCCAAATCCTCCAGTGCTGATTTTGGAGCCTTCAGTACTTCTCAGAGCAGCACAACTTCAGCCAGTAAAGCTCTAGTGAATAAATCGAATCTCCACTCAGCAGATAAATACGCAGCTCTTGCTAATTTAGATAATATCTTCAGCACAGGGCAAGGTACTAATTCTTATTCTTCAACCTGTTTTCTTATAGTAGTTATCATGACAGTAGTTTTATTCTGTGATGTTCTGTGGAAACAAATGAAGTTTTAATGCTTCACACTGTTTAACCTACATTGACCTACACAAGTAGCAAGCTGATTGCATATTGGAGGCACGGCAGCCATGCTGGCACAGTGGATCCATAAAAAGGAAGGTAGTACAATACAATTATTGTTCCCTGCTGTATTCAGCTTTTTCTACCATACTACAATCCAGAGTACATGAGATCTTATCAGTTATTGCATGGTCATATCGTGACCATGATATGACCATTTGTGTATATTGTTGTTATGATAATTTGTTTTTACTAAGTAATTGTTACTGTTTTAAACTTGTTGTTACCCACCCTGAACCTTGTGGTGCAGGGGAGGGTGGGCTAAAAGTCTAATAAAATAAATTATACACACACGATATGACCGCATGTGTATAAAAAAAGGTAGACTCAGTTGATCTGGGGTAAAGCTTTTAAGAGAAAAGTTTTCTGTTTTCGCTATGAGTAGTGCCATCAGAGGCTTATCGGTTTAATAGTGATCCTTTAAATCTGAATTCTTTAGGCTTGTAAGTGCTGTAGACGTTTATCCATTTTTGTATGCCGTTCAATGTTTTTATGATCCACAGTAGTTCTGAAAATTCTGAGACAGCTATTAAAAGTTACTCTTCTTGCTTATGCTGGTGTGGGCAATGGTGAAGGCATTCTCTTGTTCAGAAAGACAGAGCAGTCCAAAAACCTAGTATTTTACAAGGCATCAAGCCAGACACTTTTAAAAGATAGAAGACAGTAGTAATTCACTCCTCACAAAAGTTACATGTCAACTCTTCATGCAGAGATGCTGAACACCAAAGGTGTTAACACTTGCAATTGCATGGCTGTGGCTGGCTTTGTAGAATGTTTCAAATTACATTATTCAATTGCTACTTATGCTGAATATTCTCAGACTGAGTGACAGGGAACATGAGCTATGAATAGAATTGAACTGTACGGCAGCTAAGCAAATTTGGAAGTTATATTCCCTTGTAAGATCTAATGAGTTTCAGATCGTACAGATCTCTCCCAAGTCTTCTGTGAATGGCACAAGTATGCAGAAGAGGTTTTATAACCTTCCCTCGGCAGTTCCCTGCACCTCCTGAAAAGACACTCTTGAGCTTCAGGGTTCCCTCCTGTATGCTGCGCAACACTGAGAGGGGAGAAGGGGCCTCCAGCAAGAAGGCAGAATTACAAAAATTGCCCACCCCCTTCACAGTTTTTTGCTCCATTTGTACAAGTGTGGGGGTTTCCCTGCTGTTTTCCTTGGTCTTGCTGCAAGATATGCAGGATGAAGTTTAATTAAACAAAACTATGACATACAAATTTGTGTTCTTATTTGCATATATACTAAGGGTTGGATCCTAAAAAGCACAAGGAGAAGGTGGCTCTTTGCCACCCCACTCTTCTCCTAACAGCCAAAAGACCTCCAGACAGGTGTAGTTGGGATGTGCAGGAGCCTTTATGCTCATAGTTTGTAAGAGGCGGCTCTTAGTGGGCTGCAACAATTGTACCTCTTTGCAACTTGCATTCACCATGTAATGTCATGGTAACTAAGAGAAATTTGGAAATTGTTTTCTTCAAGGAAGCTACATATTAACATTGGGGCCATTAAAAGAAGGAACTTGGGTTCCAATCTGTTGCGAACATGCAGTAATGTTTGTTCCGTAACATGTTATTAAGGGCTAATTTACCACATAAGCAGTGTTCCCTCTAAGCTGTGGAGTCTTGTGAGCAAATATCCTGCTTTGTGAGCTACTGGCATTAAAGTTGTGAGCAAGCGATTTGGCTACTGCACAGATTAGTTTTTTCAGGAGCCCTCCTTCCTGAGCTAAGACAAAAATGTTTGAGCTGGAGGCTAAAAAAACTGTGAGCTAGCGCACACTAACTCAGCTTAGAGGGAACACTGCACATAAGTACTGCTTCAGATAGCCCATGTAGTGACAGTTGCCATGTGACAGGTATGCAGCAGCTTATCCTTTAGGTCAGACAATTTTCTTCACCTTGTCCCATAGTTTTGACCTTTTGTGGTAGTATGGGAGATATTACTGTAGCTGGTATACACACAAATTTAAACAAATAAACCACATGGAATCCTTAATGATCTGTTCTAAATTACTGTAAGTTTAAAGTTTTCACCCTGTGTTTTAGTATGTGTCTATCCTGGGCTCTGTTTAAGTTTTTAAAATCTAAGTTTACTTGTGTGGCCTTGAAGGCAAAGGAGTAAGGACTCATAAATTCATACTTTGGGATGGGGTGGAGTTAATTTGATTCAGTATATTGAGCTAAACCTCCCTTCTCTCTGTATCTGAAAGAAATCTGGTTACTGAAAACCTGGCCTTATAAAGGGGGGGGGGGGCGTATGAAAGAAGTGTGCTTGCAATTCTTTAACAATAGGTAAGCCATTTAAAATGTTGCCTCCGTTATCATCTCACTGTGTATCTAAGAAATAATCTTTTCTGGAAATTCTTAATTTGATTGTGTATTATGTTCTTTTTTTAGGTGGTAGCGAGCAAGGAAGTGGATTTGGTGCTGTCAATACAGCACCAGCAGGTCCTGCTGTGTCAGCCCCAAGTCAGCCAAGTGCATCTTCAGACAAGTATGCAGCTCTAGCAGAATTAGACAGTGTGTTCAGCTCCACAGCAACCTCTAGTAATGCATATACTTCCACCAGTAATGTTAGCAGGTACTCTTTCTTGCTAGAAGTTCATGTAAACCAGTTGTGTTTACAAACAGCAAAAATTAAACCAGACACTAGAAGAAACGCAAACATTATCTCTAAAATCGGCAGTTTAAAACATGTAGGCTCAGTTATGCAGTGAAGTGGGTCGGGGGTACATGACTTACTGAAACAAAAGGCTCAAAATTGGCTCTAAAAATTGCCAACTAGATGTTAGTAGAATAATGCTATAACATAGACTGAATACCTTTAAATACCTTCATTGTCTACTTTGTCAGTGATACAATATTTGTACAAAGACTTTGGTTTTGATGTTGTAACTGGCTTAAATCTTTTGATAAGAGGTTTGCAATGTGTGGTGCCAGTTATTTGAAATTAATTTGTTATTTGTAATTAATGTTGTAAGAAGTGTCTGCACGTGTAAATTTATGCTTGACGGCTTATCTAAGTCATTTTTTTCCTGTGTGTCTTATTGCTTTGCATGGTTTTTGTTACTGGCAGACAAAAATTTTGCTTACTAGTTAGCTTTTGACTTGTGTAGTAGAAATAGTTGCGGCTAAATGGCACCAATCTTTTTTTATATATGTGATAATCAGCTGTCTGTGTTTTAGCATAAAAAAGGAAATGTAAACATCTAACTGCTTAATAATTGACTCTGAGGTTCTTGAATGTTTAATTTTCAGCAATGCTTTTGGAACAGTATCAGTGGGTTCTAATACACAGACACAGCCTACGTCCTCAAGTGTGCCTGCTCCATTTGGAGGTATTGTAAAACATTATGTTTTTGTTTTTATTTATTTAAAAAGAGCAGTTTTAAGGTCTGAGGTTGGAGGCTTGTATCGGTAGGTCATAACTATCTTTGAAGGCAGTGTTATTTGCTCTTTAGTTTACCAGAGTAGATTCCTCTTTATTCCAGTATAAAAATGATAAAAATATATCTTACAGTTTTCATACTTTACTCTCTTAGTAGGCAGTTTAAGGAATGTATACATTTTTGATCTCACCAATTCTTTATTTTTCAGCCACACCTTCTACAAATCCATTTGTGGCTGCCTCTGTAGCACCTTCAACGAACCCATTCCAAACCAGTAACAGAACAGCAACAGGTTAGAAAAAGAAAACTTGCTGAGAGAATGTTGGATAGAAATTGATGTGTTCATCTTTAATTCAGTATCTTCAGAATCTGAAAGAAAACTAACATGCTAAATGCTTATGCCCTCATGAAACCAAATGCTTAATTTTGCTGTGGTCATACTAATAAAATCTAAATGCATTTAGGCTTAGTCTTTCTTGTTGCTCTTACAAGCACTAACTGATTATCGTACTGCTATTTTTAGGAATCTAAATAGTTTAATTTTTTTTAGCAAATAAAAATGAAGAGTAAAACCTCATAGCCTTCTCATGCAAATATGATGTGTGTATTAGAAGAATAATGCTTTTGACCTTGTTAAACAATATCCATTTCTGACCAATTCTGCAAAATGCTTCCAAATAGATCTTGGATTTGGAAATATTCTGAAATTCTAAAACAAAGCATTCAAATGTTGTATTTTAGAAAGCATTTAAATATCATTTAAATCACTTTTACAAGAGATTGTTCACCATTTGATACTGTCTGGTCTCTTTGACTTCCCCATAAGGCCTCTCAGGAGCAATGCATTCTCACATATTTCCTCAGGCTCACTTTGGTAGGTAGCCACACTTTATATAAGCTTCATGTGGCTAACTGTTTGCTTGTGGAAGCTTATTGCCGGTGACTGGTTTCTTTGCATGTACAACTTTTTCAACCCTCCTTCCATATTTTAAAATGAAGTGGGCATGGATGGTGATGCGCCTAAAAATATGCAATGACATTACCTGGTGTACATTGAGATTTGTGCTGCAGTCCTAAACATATGTACTTAGAAATTACATGGACTTAATCTCAGTTGGAATTGCTGCTAAGTGAGAGTGCTTAGGACTGCAAGCTAAGACTTATGTCTACCTCCATGGTCACATTAACAGATGCTTTAAAAATTAACTGGGTTTCAAAGCTTGTATTCACAGCAGCTTAAGTGAAACACATAATTATACCAAACCATTGCATATTGTCACAATGTGTTTGGATTTGTTGTTTTGGCAAGCTTCACTGTTGTTTCCTTTCCGCCAATAATAGCTTGTGAAAGTTCTGTCAGTGCATTTATATGTAACTTGCCTATCTTTGTGTGTGCTCCTTCCATAAATACTTATCAGCTCTTATGCCATCTCTTTCCTGGCTAGCCATGATAATTGATGGATGAATGCTGTGATATGGAATTCAATTACACCTGTCACTAAATAGTGACTGGCCAGAATCCACCAATCTAGTTAATGAGACAAATATTTAATGTTCATAAAATGTTTTTGTGAACAGCATTGCCCAGTACCGCATGATAAGCTGATGACACTGAGCTGAGTGTCAATGCAGTGATTGATCCAGCATGTGGGTCAGCTTCCAGAGTGTTAAAAAAATCCATTGGTTAGCCAGACAGACCCTTCCCCTGGAAACAGGTTTGGTGGAGGGGAGTCAGAGGATATAGCACATTGTTTCTGAAAGAGCTGTTGAACTACTGAGTAGACTAGTTCTGTGACATTCATGAAAATGAATTTTAGATTACTTTCCTGCAGAGAAGTAGGTGTAGTTGCAGTTGCTTGTGATATCTAACTTTCATATTCTCTTTGGAAAAAGAAACATTTGTGAATATCTAGAAAGCGACTGACAGAAGGATCAAAAAGATCATGAGCAAACCAAGCATGCTTTGGCCACAATAATAATTATCGTATGGCAGTGTGTGTAGTATAGCCAGGAGATTCTAAGATTGTCTGATAGTCAGAAGTTCTAGCTCTTTAGTCTTTTGAACCACTAGGTGGCAAGCTAGACTTATTTCTAAGGCAAGAGATGTTTCAGAGGTGGTTTTCTATTGCCTGCATCTGTGTCACGACCCTGGTATTCCTTGGAGGTCGCCTTTCCAAATACTAGCCAAGGCCAACTGTGCTTAGCTTTCAAGATCTTAGGAGATCAGGCTAGCCTGGGCTATCCAGGTCATGGCACTTTGGCTGCGTTCCTAGGAAAACCAAGAAGCTGATTGGGTTTTTAGGTTGGCTATGTGACTGGCTGCTTTGTAGAAGAAATGCTTACTGAGGCTTCATAATAATAGTAAAGTGTACTTCAAAAGTAATAATGCGACATTTCTCTTACCAGCAACAACATTTGGCACCGCATCCATGAGCATGCCTGCAGGATTTGGAACACCTGCCTCATTCAGTCTTCCAACTAGCTTTAGTGGTAACTTCCAACAACCTGCATTCCCAGCCCAGGCAGCCTTTCCTCAGGCTGCTTTCACACAGCAACCTAATGGTAAATGCTTTCTTCTTATGTGTTGTTTCAACAGGTGGAAAAAATAGCAGTAAGCTGAGAACACCTTGATAGTTGAGGCTGTTTATCTCTGGAAACAGCCTTGCTTGCCTTCTGCTCCCATCTCCTGGGGACCCTGTCACCAGCTGGCTAGCTGAATGTAATGTTGTAGTACTGGGATCTCTCTGGAAGAATGGGAGGGGGCAATTTGACATATTTTACATTCTTAGGTTACTTGTTCCAGGAATGATGATGATAGCTATTATCTTTGGCCCTAGTAAAATTTGGTAATCCTAGCTAGAATGGCACTAGCAATCATAAAACATTACATTGAATAATGTTCATGATCTTTAACCTTAAAAGATGTACTATATTACAATTAAATAATTTTGTTTCTGTACATGAGGCTTACTCAAGAGTTTATTATGTTCTGGTGTGTTTCATAGGTGTTATTAGTTAGTTTTTGTAGGTTTTAAACTCATATATGCTCACAGATTGAAAGGGGGGAGCAAGGGAGTGCTGGGGCTGCTGGCCTAAAAAATTCAGAGGTCACTTGAAGTTAAAATCTGTGTGGTTTTGTTTAATCTGAAATGACAAATCAAGTCAACAAGAGAATCAAGGCCCATTGTCTATCCATTTTTACCATGCCCTTCTTCTAAAAACTACTACATGGTTGTATACACAACTCTCTCCTTAGAGGTTTAACTCCAGGCAACTGAGAGTAGATACCTAGTATTGTGCTTTTAAGGACTTAACTACTAATCTGAAGTTAACTTCTGATATGTTATTACAAAGGTGGAGGATTTGCTGTATTCGGACAGGCGAAACCAGTAGCAACCCCATTTGGGCAAGTCACAGCTGTTGGAGTATCTAGTAATCCTTTTATGGTAAGTCAATCTTAATGATTGATAATTTGTTTCAAATTGTTGTGGGGAAGAGGTATAATGTTATAATGTAGATGGATTCATAAGGGTGATCACTGAATGGCAGGGAATATATTTGAACCTTACTTTTGAAGTTTCCTTTGTATTTGGAGCCATAGTTTATCCCAAAGAGACTTTTTAAAAGCAGTTTTTCTGTCACTCATGTCATTTTGTATCCCATATACTTTAAGGAGGGAATTGTTCTGTATTAGCACTGCCTCTATGTGTGTTTATCTTCACAGTGTCACTAAAAGGGCATTGTGGTCAGACCTCAATTAAAGTGAATGATGAAAATTAATGCTGCCAGTCCATGGTGGAATGTGTGTATAAATGAATTTAAACACTATGAAGATTTAAAAGTAACCCTTGTTGATGCAGCATAATTTAAGGTGATGTGAACAAAAATCCCAGTACTGAAAGGTACTGGGGGGGGGGGGGGCGGCAGGTACAGAGTAGGAAGCTATGCATAGAAATTAACAGTGGAGTCTCTAGATGTTGAATATCCTTGTTCTTTAAAGAATCCCTAACTTTTCCAAATTACAATAGACTACTGGACCCTAATACCACAGTACAAAAGTGCTTTTTCCAAGCACAGCATGACTAAAAACATCTGTAATAAGATACAGATTTTTCCTGTTTTTGCAAAAGTAATATTCTGGCATGATTTTATCACATCGCACTTTGGACTCTGTCCAGATATTAAGCTTTGGTTTATGGCTTTGTGTAATAGCTTTTGTATGTGACCTTTATCCCTTTTGTTTCTCCAGGCAGGTGCACCAGCAGGACAATTTCCAACAGGAAGCTCATCGACCAATCCTTTCTTATAGCCTTATAGACACTTTACCTAAAAGAACTCTTATGTGAACACATAACATCTCTGCGCCTCTTGCACTGTTGTCTTGTTTCACTGATTTAGCTTTAAACACAAGAGAAATCTTTAAAAGTAAAAAGCCTGCATTGTGTGTTACAACCAAGAAACACCAGGTAATGTGCAAAACAGAGGGCTGTGATAACATCCGTTATCTGTATGTTGGCAGGAGAATGTTAATGGTATCATGTATATTAAAATTGGCTAATAAGTTATTGCAGATACCACGTTCATTATGCTGCAGTACTGTACATATTTTTCTTAGGAATTAGTTATTTGTGCATATCAGTATTTGTAACTTTTAACACATTGTTATGTGAAAAATGTTACTGGGGAAAAGATCAGCCACTTTACGGTGCTGTGGTATCTCTTGGAATGAATTACCTACATCATTTTAACCATTGCTATTGGGAGTTATGAGTTCAAAATTGGAGGTTTTATTCATTTCTCAAAGTGTTTTTCCTTTCCTAAAGAGCTCTTCTATTTATACATGCCTAAATTCTCTATAATGTAGAGGGATACCTGTCTGCATAACAATAAATCTGATCATGTTTTGCTACAGTTTGCAGGTGGAAAAAAATAAATATTAGAAAAGTATGTTTGTCTTTGACCATTTGCGTTAACCTATTCTGTTTAATCTTCCAGAGCACTCCCAGAATCAAGGTTAATATTTTTGCTTGCTCAAATGACCACTCCCACTAGATCTTGTAAACTGTGTACCAGGAACGACTCCTACTGAACAGTCAGTTTTCAAAATACTGCTGAAGGCTGGGACGGACAATCTAAGCTGTAAAACTATTTGATTTAGCATGTACAGTATAGTTGGTCAGGCATTTAGTTTATAAAGCACAGTTGAGCTGAGGACCGGGACTGAAATTTACCAGCACATTTCACATTAATGCAAAATGGAGCCGGAGTGGAAAAAGCCTGAACATCATGCGCTTGTATCCTCTATTTAGAGCTGTAAGGAAAATGTTAAACATCAGAAGTTCCTTTTTTCTACTTGCCCATAAGTATGGCTATATACATATAGCATTAAAAAAATGTTCTTGAAAAATCTAGTCTAAAACAGTCACACTGTCATGTGTCTTGGTCCCTTTCCTGTCACAATTATTTTGAAGTATAAATCGCAGGATGAGGGCATTTAAGGGATGAGGGCAAGTGCTGTATCCTGCTGCTGTTTAGGGATGTACTGAAAATAATTTGTGGCTTTATTGTATTTGTTTACTTCATTTATACCCCCACCTTTCCCCCCAATGGGGACCCAAGGTGGCTTACATAATTCTCCTCTTTTCCATTTTATCTTCACAACAAGAGCTCTCTGTGAGGTGTTAGGCTGAGAGTATGTGCCTGGCCCAAGGTCGCCCAGCAAGCTTCCACAGCAGAGGGGGATGGGTTCCAACTTGATTCTCCCAGTTACTAGTTGGACACTCTAACCACTACATCACACTGACTTCTTGAATCATACAGAAAAGAAAGGAATTGTTTGTTCAGTGCACCCTGTGAAATATTTGGTAGGCTGCCTCATTAAAGGGCAGAGACTTTGCTGAACCTGTTGTGTTCAGTACATGAAAAGGAATTCAAGAACCAGCACAAATAAAAACAATTTATTTTCTATTTGAACGAATTTAACTCTGGATAGGTAATTGTAATGCAGTGGTTAGAATCTTGAATTAGGATCTGGGAGATGCAGGTTCTAATCCCCACTCTTCCTTGGAAGCTTAGTGGGTGACCTAGGGCCAGTCACATGCTCTTGCCCTAACCTACTACCCCAGAATAGAACAAAGTGAGCCGCTTTAGGTCCCCATAGGTGGGACCTAAATGAAGTAAATAAATAAGCTGTCATTTTTTTTTGTCTGATCAAACCTGGCGGGAGGAGTGATAAGATGGTTTATTTAAGATGTGTTTCTTCCCAAACAAACAAAAAAATTCTGAGTGATTAGCTCAATGAAGGCAATGCATAATTTTGGGCTTGCCTAACAGGATGAAGGAAAACCAGTGCACAGTACCCTGTTATCTTTGCTGCCTTAACACTGAACCCTTTTCTGAAGGTGAGATTTTATTAAGAAAAATGGTCTTATTTTTGAAGCTTAGGCCAAGTTTCCTCTATGCTGTTTGCAGTAAGTTTACAGAAGCTTCCAAAAGGGTATTGCAGTTTTTTTTTTACTTTCACTTACCTGTACTAAAACCTGGGGTATGAATTACGGAAATTGAGAGTTAAAACTTCCAGATGCCCAAATAAACAGGCTTTTGTTTGTTAAAATGGGCCAGTGTGGTATAATCATCTAAGAAATCTGAAAGATTACAGGCACAGAACCCCTCTTAGCCTAACCTGCCCCATAAGATTGTGTAAAAGCAGGAGGAGAGGCCCTGAGCACACACACTTCCTCAGATACACTTTGTTGGTCTTAAAGGTGCCCCTGGACTCAAACTTTGATCTTCGACATGGTCTCTGTGCTTCACACCCATGGGATACAGTGCGCCTGCGCTGGATCGATAGGTATTGTAGCAAGCTCTTAACGGATTATCGCCCAGACCTCAGGCATGCGCAGGAACCCCACCACGCATGCCCAGAAAGGTGGGCGCGGACATCCCACCAGTTCCTTTCTTTCCGCCGTGCTGGAAGCACCTTCCTTTCGTCAGTCAGATTGGTAGTTATTTTTTCCTCAGAGGCTCTTTGGATTTCTCTTCAGTTTTTCTCTTATTTCCACTTTTAGTTTGAGGGGGAAGTTCTTTGTTTTACCTCAGTTGGGCCTTTGGCCCCCTCAACTCGAATTCTTCTCCATCTCATTTATTTTATGGAGAAGAAGTGGGGCTTTTTCAAATGTTGTAAGGGGTGCGGCAGTAAATTCGCTCCGCCTGATGGCCATACCCTTTGCATTTTTTGTCTTGGCGAGACGCACCGACCAGAGTCCTGTCGACACTGTGCCAAGTTTTCAAATCAAACCAGGAAAAACCGAGCGGCGTGTTTCCGGGTGGCGTTACTGGATCAGCGCTAAATCCCGCTTCCGTCATGGATCCAGAAGTACCGGTAAGACCATCGACATCGACGGCTCCGGTATCAAAGTCCTTGTCCGACATCGTCCAGTCAACATCGAAGCTCCTGGCACCGACGGCGCAGTCTTCGGCGTCCACTCCCATGAAAAAGAAGGAGAAATTGGGTAAAGAGCGCAAGTCTGCCAAAAAGGGTTCCTCTAAGGCCCTAAAGGCGGCAAAGTCTGGAAAAGTCGCGGGTCCTGCACCAGGTAATGCCCCTAAGGTGCCCCCCGCTCCAACGATAGTATCGACATCCGACATCGGAGGCTCCAGTCACTCCACCGATACTGACCATCCAGCTGATGGACTCTCCAATACACCAGCTAGACCACGAAACGGTGGTCGACATGCGTCCTTTCTCCGACATCGATAATGTCGAGATCCTCAGTCGTCCCCTGGGCACGGATTGCTCTCCCTCTGCTCAGTCATCGACATCGACGGTCTCAGACTTCCATGCCGATATCGACCCAGATCGGCATCGACAGATCCCTAAAAGCACTCAACGTCATCCTCCCTGTCTGTTTGCTGAGGATCAGCCTTTCGATATTGATGATTGGGCTAATAGGGGCCACTCACGGAGACGAGATGCTACACTGACTCCCAGACGCTCCCGCTCCAGGAGTAGATCCCCATGAGTCTTCCTGCCCCCACCACCTGCTCTCTCCTGGGATCACCGCCAACTACGTTACCTCAATGGGGCTTATCCACCCGCATCCATCCCTTGATTGACTCCAGCAGGTTACTCTGATTGGGATCATTACTCTGACCACAGGTCACGGTCACCCCATAGATCGAGGCCCTCAGCATCTCTTTCCCGTCCTCCGGATCATCCATCTGATGACCCTCCTCGACATCGACTGGATCAATATCGTCCTCCCAGTCCCCCTATCCCACCATCAACATATCCAACCAGTCAGATCAAAACCACTCTGGTACAATTACCAGAGCCCGATTCCTCTGACTCTGTGGATGAGGATTCTGATACGGGTGCTTCAGATGTACACAGCTCCCCTGACCAGCCTTCTCCAAACCAGGCAGTAGCCGATGACTAACCTATATCTCCATCTGACAATTTAACTTCCTACGGAGACCTCGTGAAAAGTTCAGTCGTACAACCACAACCACAGGTTACAGATGCCGTTTTTGATGTGGTACAACTAGATAACATCGATGGCTATAGCACTACCCATGTCCACGGTCCTGTTACAGGCAGCTAAAGCTCCATGGGATAAACCGTCATCAGCTCCAGTGTCCACACGTCACTTGGACCATATGTATAGAGTCCAAGAAACGAGCAGAATTCTTATTTGCCCATCCTCAACCAAACTCAATGGTAGTTACTTCCTCATCCAAGTCAAAGAGAACCCATTCTGCTCCTTCAGACAGGGAGAGCAGAAAGCTAGATGCATTCGGACGACGTTTCTACTCTACTGGAGCACTATGGGTGAAGACCACCAACTACTTAGCGTGTATGAGTAGATACCAATACACTTTGTGGCTCTCCGAATTCTGGCAAACCTTCAAGAAGGTAAGCATCAGGCAGCCTGCATCATCCAAAAGGAGGGCATGGTGCTGGCAAAACAACAAATTAATACCTCTAAACATGCCCTAGACACCTGCTCAAGGACAATGGCTTCAGCCATAGCTCTCCGAAGACATTTCTGGCTACGTAACACCAATCTACAGCCAGATACTAGGTCATACGTAGAGGACCTCTTATTCAATGGCCTTGGTCTGTTTAATAGTACCACAGACAACATATTACACGATATGGATAAAAGCATAAAAGCTTCTCGTGCTCTGGGCGTTTCTTCATCCACGAGGCAGCAATACCGGTCTTGTCCCTGGTCTAGACCCTGGCAAAAACGTACCCCAAACAGTCAGTCTCCTGACCGGCAATGGAGGCCACGTACATCCTCTGGAGGCCAGAAGCCCACTTTTCAGAAACCTAGATTTGGATTGGGACAACAATCCTGCAACAGTAAGCAGGCAAAGTCCACCAAGCAGGGTTTTTGACTTCCATGTCTTCCAGTCACATCCAAGTCATCTAACCCCCTTCCTCTAAATTTGGCGCCTCATCACCACAGACGAATGGGGGCTGTCCATCTTGACCCAGGGTTACCGCATAGAATTCATTCAGAACCCCATTACTCTTGTCTTTGTCTCCACACCCCCTTCCCCAGCCCTTATGGAAGAAGTGTACATCCTTCTGCACAAGGGAGTCATCGAGCCAGTGCCACTACATCTACAGAGCAGGGGATTCTATTCCCGCTATTTCACCGTTCCAAAGCGGGATGGAGGCGTTCGACCAATCTTAGATCTACGGGTGCTAAACTGCTTTGTGAGCTACCACCGCTTCCGCATGGTGTCCTTGCAGCAGATTCTGCCACTTCTCCAGAAGAACGTCTGGATGGCCACCCTCAATCTCCAAGACTTGTTCTTCCACCTCACCATCCACCCGTCCCACCACCAATACCTACGCTTCGCAATTGGTCAACATCACTACCAATATGCAGCTCTGCCATTCGGCCTTTCGAGTGCACCAAGAGTCTTCACAAAGA